CGTGCCCGGAGCATGACCTGGAGAACTACAGCATGTACTGCGCCAGCTGCCGGAGCCCGGTGTGCTACGTGTGCCTGGAGGACGGCAGGCACGGCCAGCACGAGGTGAAGCCGCTGGGCGCAGCGTGGAAGCAGCACAAGGTGAGCGCTGGCGCGAGCGCGGGACGCCTCAGCTCTGCAAGGGCTGGAGGGAACCACCTCACCTTTCGTTGGTTCGTTCTTTCGTTCATTCATTCCACAATCATTGATTTGACCAACACTCAGTGTGTCAAGGCCCCTGAGATAGCTACTACGGATGGACAGGATAGGTATGTAGTAAGTGACTTACCGAGTCTCTTCCCACATGACACTTTGTGACTCTAACCAAAGTGGCCTCAATCCCAAAGTCTGTCCTTTTTTATTAAAGCAGGCAGGAGCTCCTTTTTTAAAAAACTTTTTTTTCCAGTACCTGGAATCGAACTCGGCACCTGATACTTGCCAGACAGGCACGGGGCCACTGAGCTACATTCCCAGCCTGGTGCCTTTCCAAGCAGGTAAATCTGCTGCTGAAGTAGGAAGCTGCTTTCCAGTCCTCAAGAAGGCTATTTTCTGTTCAGCCAGACCTCTCCCTTCCAGAACAGAAATCCTCAACTCCTCTCCAAATGCACTCTGTCCCCACAATGCCCAGCAACCCAGAGGGGAGATATCCTGCTTCCTGAGCCCTGATGTAGCACCAGGACATGTGCGCTTTAGAAGGAAGCATCCTTTTTCCTAGAGACCTCTTTTGACAGGAGCTGGGCTGTGGGGAGCTCACAGTTACAGAACCAGGTGCCTAGGGAGTGTTACCCTCAGCAAATTATGGCTGTCAATGTGAACTATCTGACACTGGGAGAAAGAGGACAAGCCATTAAAATTTGTTCAGGCCATCATCAGGCCCTGAGACAAGGCTGGGCTCTTCTAGCTACGGTTCACCTAATTTCTGAGGCAAATGGGTTAGCTGGACACCTGCGCTCCTCCCTGTGGAGGCAGGTTAGAGCCGCTTGGTAAGGATCCCAATGCATCTGCACCCCAGACAGCTACCATTCAATGCATTCTTTCCAGTAAACTGTAGCAGGGAAGGGTCAGAGGTCTCCAGAGGGCCCAGCAGTAAACAGTGTGTGTACTTGGAGGGAGGAGAGGAGCCACAGGAAAACGGAGCCATTTGCCAAGGCTACTTTGTCATCCAACTGCAAACAGGCAGAGGGCAGCACAGAAGAGACTAACTGCTCCTCTGTAGATTTGTTGTTCTGGTATATATGAAACATATATGTATAAATTCATCTACTATGATAAGCACGTGTTGTTACTGAAACTTTTCCAATAAAATTAGGGGAGGGGGAGCCCAAGCACTTGGGAGTCTGAGGAAGGAGGTTAGCTGTGAGTTTGAGGCCAGCCTGGGCTACATGGTACATTCAAGGCCTGCCTGGACTGCACAGTGAGAGCCTGCCTTAAAACACACACACACACACACACACACACACACACACACACACACACTTTAGAAATCCACCAAGGTCCCAGACCTGTCATGTAAAGGTACGAGATCCCAATGATGATCATAACTGTGCTGTATACCTAAAATGTACCAATAAACCCAATGAGAGAGGAAAAAAAAAATCCACCAAGGAGAGGGAAGTTTATTTAACACATCTTAAGAAGGGATGTGTGGAGTCGAATCCTTGGTTCTAGAGCAGTGGTTGCCAGTGGGGGCCAATTTCCACCTTCACTCCAGCCTCTCCAGATATCTGGCAATGTCTAGAGAGTTTCGGGATGTCATGCCTCAGGGATGCTGCTAGCATCTAGTGAGCAGAGGCATGGGGGCTACTAAACATCCCACAGAACAAAGGAAAACTCTCTGGCAATTATCCAAAGGTGAATAGCACCTCAATAAGAAACCCTGTCCAGAAGGGTGATGCACACCTGTAATCCCAGCACTAGGGAGGCTGATGCAGGAGGATTGCTGTGAGTTGGAGGCCAGCCTAGGCTACACGGTGAAGTCCAAGCCAGCCTAAACTGCATAGTGAGACCCTGTCTCAAAAAAGCAAAAACAAAAACAAAAAACCCTGTCCTTCAGTTGCAATGATCCTAGTCCAAATCTCTAGGATTGCAATTTACTAACTGTGTGAGTTGAGGCAATTTTAACTTTAAGCTCAGTGAAAGTAACATCTAACTCAGATCCTCTTGGAAAGCAGTAGGTATAATTCTCTATGTTTAGCCTCTAGCTCAGTACCTGTTATCTTTATAACTTTAATACTTAAAGCCAGTGACCTTGCAGAAAGCTACAGGGCAGCAGCGTGAGTGCTCTTTTGGCCTCATTGACTTGGTTACCTGGAGAAAACACCAGCTGGTGACTTTCAATATTACTTGTGCTGAGCCCTTAAACAGCTATGAGCTGAATGCAGACACTTGCCTTAAATTTGCTTCCACTCACTGGACATTTTGATTTGTAGGAATTGTAGCTCCTCACTTGTTTCATTGTTTAAGTGACTAGAGGTCATTTTACAAATGAGGAAATCATTTGTAAAAAGACTGATTAATTAGTAAGAGAAGAAGTGGGGTTCTACATCTCACACACGGATTTCACAAGCTGTTAAAAGTTCACAGCCTACAGGGCCAAAACTAATTTTGGATATTGCCACTTGAACATTCAGAATAGCAAAGAGTGGAAAGCAAAGAGGGCTCAGAAGAGATTTTTGCAATTGTAAAAGAGTTTAAGTGTCTTGCTTGGAAAAGTGAGTTGGATAATGAGGTATGATTTCAAGGACCAAGGTTGAGTAGGGAAAATCAGTGGTCACCCCCAGTTTCGTAACAAAAGCAATTTTCTATAAGCACTACCTCAACAATGTACAGTTATGAGGAGACGTGAGAAGCACACGGGTAGCTGCTTATCAGAGTGTGCAGAAGCTCCTGTGGGCTGTGGCACCTGAGGGAACATGGCTGCAGGATTTCATACCTAGTGTGCTGCTTCAGGAATGATGTCGTCCCGTATCCAGTGGGAACACAGAGCTAGTTCCGGGAGACTCATCCTCAAGGGGGGATACGTGCTCTGCCGTTCTTTAGCAGCAGTAGCTGCTTTCCTACAAAAAGGGAACTTAGTGCTTGTTGCAAGCTTCTCACTAGGTGCTGCTGATGGGAAGGGAAGATGGAGCGGGGAGTACACAGTTTATCTTTGTTTGGGGAGGTTGGGAGCAGGGACTGAGACCACCACGTGAGCTGCAAGAGTGGTTATGACAGGAAGATAAATGAGAAGAACACTGCTTTTCAGACTCACACTGTGGTGGCAGTGAGTTCTTCAGTAAACCTTATGGTCTTTGGATTTTTTTCCTGGTGGTTATTGTCTAAAACCCTGAGGATCCATGACAAAGCCCTGCTGCTACCAGCAGCCCTTCCCTGAGGTTCCTAAGGTCCGAGGGACTTCAGCACAGCTGGCTCTGATTCCTCTCTGCCATTTGCTCAGTGATTCTTAAGGGAGGACACTTATACTGTATGTGATACTGGAGCCTGTTGATCATCACCTTTTAAAACAGTGTTGAAACCTTTTGGTCTTGATTAAACATGTTTTTATATGACTGTCTTGGAACAATCAACACTAACTTCTGACAGAAAGAAGTTCTGTGTGTTTGGAAGGGCAGCTTTCTAGGAGAGCTTTTGCCTTTTTCTCTATTGTTTGTCCCAAAGTGGGCAGGGCAAGGTCAATGTGGGCTGTAACACTTCCTAGCATATCACAGAATGTCATCTGAAATCCTTGCTTCAGGGAGGACCTGACCTGCCGGGTGCAGATGGCCAGCCTTGAATTAAAATGTGGATGTTGATTCCCCAGCTGAGGCTGTGGAGTGCTGGCCAGGCCTCCTGGGAGCAGAAGAGCATGCAAGAACACTTCAAGGTGCCCAGGGTGACCTAACCCGGGAGCCCCCTCCCACCTCACACAAGAGTGAGGGAAAATGTAGACTGGGAAACTCAGGGAAGATGGGGACATCTGCTCTCTCCAGGCCTCAAGGCTCTGCCAAGGGCATGTAGCTTCTCCGCACCTGCTCTGACCTATTTTGTAAGGAGGTATTTGAGGCTTCCGAGCCTCAGAGGAAAGTCTTTGCCATTTATAGGACATGGCACAGGTGACAAAGGCAGAATGTGGAACCATAACTGTGTGATCGTAGGGGAAATTATTTTAACATTTGGAGTTTTTATTACCCAAGTAGTAAGTACTCATTGTTAAAAACCAGAACTGCAGATATAAACACGCAGATTTAACTATTATCCCTAAACTCTAATTTACAGGGGAAAATTTTTCTAACACTTGAGAGTTTCTTTCTATAATTCTACTATACTTTTACTTGACATTGCCTTTTTTCTTTACAAATACAATATAAATGTCTTTATTGATAGTGGATATGTATTATTTTTGAGAGCTATATGCCATTACTTCATAAGAATTCATTTTACACCTGATTCTGTACTTTAGGTTGTTTTCAAAATCTGCTATAAACATTTTTCTATTTAAATCTTTGCTTTGCACTCTTAATTATTTCCTTAGGTTACATTTCTGATGTGGAATTATAATATCAAAGGTCATGCTTGCCTCAGTAGCACATATACTAAAAAAAGTAATATCAAAGGTTACTTGACTTTAAAGCATCTAATTAATGTTTCCAAATTACCTTTCATCAGAGCACCTATTTTTTCTCCCAGTAGAAAATTATGTCAATAATAAAAAACTCACTTGGATAGGAACCAAAGGGGAAACAATAAAGTAGACTGTCTTGCTTGTAGTAATTATCATTTGCTATTTTCATTACATCGTTATTAGAGCATTTTAAAAAGAGGATGATAGATGTCTAGACTTCCGTATTCTTAACTACCAGTGAGACTGCCTTCCCTGGAGCTCTGTTACCCCATTTCACCTCTTGGATTTCAGGGCCCATGAAAAGACAAAGCCTTCGGGGTCCTCCTAAGGCATTTTGGGATGGGGTTGGGTGGCCATAAAAGAGTTAAGGAAAGGGAAGAACTTGGCAGTATCTTTCAGGAGATCTGGCCTCTCATCCCCACTGCCCTATGCTAGGCCCTAACCCCAGGCAGAGTGCTAAGAACCACAGCTGTGGATGCTGGACAGCCAGCCCCTCCTTACA